CTCCAGTCTGGGCGACAGAGTGAGACTCCGACTCAAAAAAAAAAAAGAAAGAAAGAAAAAGAAGAATATTCCATGCCAAAAGCTAGGCAAGGCATATGTGTTTCTCTCTAGATGGTTGTAAGCAGATGCTGGAAACATGAGTGAAAGTGGTTGACCTTAAAGGTTCCTTCCAACCAGGAAATTCTGGGGTCTGTTTTGCAGCACATGTTGGCTTTTGTTATATCCTATCTTCTTGTTTGCCCTCCTGCGTTTAAGAACAGTCTGGTTTTACAGATATCCTGCCCCACAGTCCCTTGATACGCTTTTCTGCACCCCATGAAAGGGTACTATTGTTGTCCTTTGGAAATATATGTGAATGCTTGATGGTGAGATAAGCAAACCTTTCACAACTTAAAGCAAAACACCCTCGTCCTCCATTGAGAGAGAGCCAGATTAGTTGGTGTAAGTTCAGGGAAATGGACAGCTGTATTTACTTTCTCAGGCATTGACATTTAAGCAAATACATTCTTCAACACTGGGTGGCAGAAGCATGACAGAAGGCACTGTAGCCAAACAAGGCCTGGGGCAGCCCCCATACTGCAGGCTCTGAGGCCATTATTTTCCACCTACGCCCTTTTCCTTACCTTCCTCAATCCCTCTACCCACCCACCCTGCCCTTATTCAAAATTCAAAAGGTTCTGTTCTACAGAGCAACTCTGAAATTCACAGGCTCTCCTTTTTTTAATCTTCTCAGTACTTATGTAGCACTGCAACTAAGTGGTGGTGATCCCTGCCCTCTCTGTCCCTGTTGTTTTCTAAGACAAACACTGAAAGAGGCAGTGGGTTATTTGCTCATCACAAGTTCTCTTTCCCTCTAAGAACCCCAAATATCTCCATTCTTTCCCTAGGACCACCCCCACCCACCTGGGAGCTTCAGATGTTAGCCTTTTCATGTTGGTTGAATCCACAGATGTAGAATTATGGATAAGGAGAGCTGGCTGTATGTGTAGTGCTTTACAGTCTTTCTTCTCCTACCCAAACTAGGCCTGGGGCTTTGGAAGACACAACAGTTTGCTTTAGAGCCTGTCCTTTTCTTTCCCTTGTTTAACCTGTATACCCTGTACCTGGGTGGTATTCTGGATCCAAGATTGGCAAACTTTTTCTGTGAAGAACCAAAGAATAAATATTTTAGGCTTTGTGAGGCACAAATGGTTTCTGTCTCCTTTTCTTCTCCTCCTCCTCTCTTCTCCTTTCTTCCTCCCCCTCTGTCTCTTTTTCCTCCTCTTCTTTAAAAAAATGATCCAAGTACAATACATTTTTGTTAACTATAGTCACTCTGCTATCAAACAATGACTTTATTCCTTCTATCCCTGTGTTTGTACACTTGAGCCCACTTTTCTTCATCCTCCTCCCACTCACCTTCCCAGTCTCTGTTATCTGTTTTTCCACTGTCTGCCTCCATGTGATAAAATATTTTAGCTCCCACATATAAGTAAAAACATGCAATATTTGTCTTTTTGTGCCTGACTTATTTCACTTAAGATAATGACCTCTAGTTCTATGTTGCTGCAAATGCCAGGATTTCATTCTTTTTCACAACTGAATAATATTCCATTGTGTATGTATACTCCTCTTCCGCTTCTTTCTCTTCCTCCTCCTTTTTTTTTTTTCTTTTTTCTTTTTTGAGTTGAAGCCTCATTCTGTCACCTAGGCTGGAGTACAGTGGCATGCTCCCGGCCACTGCAGCCTCGACCTGCTAGGCTCAGGCGATCCTTCTGCCTCAGCATTCCAAGTAGCTGGAACTACAGGCACACGCCACCATGCCTGGCTAATTTTTTGATTTATTGTAGAGATGAGGTCTTACCACATTGTCTAGCCTGGTCTCAAACCCCTGGGCTCAGGCAGTCCTCTCACCTCAGCCTCCCAAAGTGCTGGAATTATAGGCTGAGCTGTTGCACCTGGCCCCTCCTCCTTCTTTGTGCTTTCTTCTTCTCCTTTTTCTTTTCTTTTTTTTTGAGTTGGAGTTTCACTGTGTCACTCACGCTGGAGTGTAGTGGCATGCTCACGACCACTGCAACCTCAACCTGCTGGGCTCAGGGGTCCTTCCACCTCAGCCTTCCAAGTACCTGGAACTCCCGGTATGTGTCACTAAATTTGGATAATTTTTTGATTTATTGTTCAGATGAGGTTACACCAAGTTGCCCAGGCTGGTCTCGAACCCCTGGACTCAGGCAGTCTTCTCGGCTCTGCCTCCCAAAGTGTTGGGACTACAGGCATGAGTCACTGCACCTAGCACCTTCTTCTCCTTTTTCTCAACCCCTTTAAAAATGAGCATATCACTGTTAACTTGTTGGTTGTACAAACTCAGGTCGTGGGCCAGATTTGACTTGCTAGCCATAGTTTGTTTACCCCTTTTCTAGACTTTTGCCACTCAAAGTATGGTTTGTGAACCAGCATAATTGGTACCACCTGGGACCTTATAAGAAACAGAATCTCAGGACCCGCTTTAGACTACAGAGTCAGAGTTTACATTTTAGGAAAATCACCTGGTGAGCCATTTGCACATTAAGCATTGAGAGGCATTGGTCTTTTTTATTTTTCTATTTTTGAGATGGAGTCTCACTCTGTCACCCAGGCTAGAGTGCAATGTCATGCTCATGGCCACCACAGCCTCAACCTGCTGGGCTCAGGCGATCCTTCCGCTTCAGCCTTCCAAGTAGCGGGAACTACAGGCGCATGCCACCATGCCTGGCTAATTTTTTGATTTATTGTAGAGACGAGGTCTCAACAAGTTGCCCAGGGGCAACTTGAACCCCTGGACTCCGGCAATCCTTTCACCTGTAATCCCACCTCCCAAAATGCTGGGATTACAGGATTGAGCCACCGTGCCCAGCCCGAGAGATATTAGTCTTAAAAAAAAAAAAAACACACATAATCTGTGTGTTGGTGATGGCTGCCTTTAGTTCTCTATCCCTGGCCTCTCCTCATATTGAAATAAACACCTCGACTGGGCATGGTGGCTCATGCCTATAATACCAGCACTTTGGGAGGTCAAGGTGAGAGGATTGCCTGAGCCCACGGGTTGGAGATCAACCTGGGCAACTTGGTGAGACCTCATCTCTACAATAAATAAAAAGAAAATTAGCTGGGTGTGGTGGCACATGCCTGTAGGTCCAGCTACTTAGAAGGCTGAGGTGGAAGAATCGCCTGAGCCCAGCAGGTCGAGGCTGCGGTGGCCATGGGTGCTCCACTGCATTCCAGCCTGGGCAACAGAGTGAGAATCTGACTCAAAAAATAAATAAATAAATAAACGCCTACTTGACATCTCTATTTGGAGGTTTCATAGTTACCCCATAGGTGAAATTTGAGAGTCCAATGCAGTAGCTATTTAAAAGCACTTGGCACATCTTAAATAGTAGCTACTGTTACTATTCTGATGTGCTGGGCCCTATGCTGGGTACTGCAGCTACAAAGATGAGTAAGATACCATCCTCGCCTTCACAGTCTTGTTTGGGGTGGGGACACAGGTTATCAGGAAGGAGGTGAAAAGGGTTTGCCTAATGCTCAGATATAAGGGGCAGAGGTCCTTGAAGGTTGAAGCCATGTTACCCATGTTAGGTGCTCAGTAAGTGACCACTGAAGAATGAGCCCACAAACTGACCCATCTGTAGATTTTTCCTATGGGCCAGCCATTCCACAGCCACAAGGTGGCAGCGTTGGCAAAGTTTTCCAGTGGCCAACTCCGGTGGCCTTTGTGAGAAGTCTTTGCCAGGGCCTTCTCTGACTCCTCTTCAGTCTCAGCTCCAAAATCACCAGCTCAACACTGCCCATCCGGAGGGTCTTAACCTGCAGTTC